CTCGTTTTAGTAATTTTACATACGTAGAGCATGCTCTTGCAAATCGCATCAACTGAGAGATACTGCTGCATAAGTAAGGGAAGTTTACGATTGAAAAGTTAAAGTCATTACGTTTATCACAGGCCTTGGTTGTAAAAATAAGTTTAATGCAACTTTAATTACATTGCATGTCAACATCACATGGCACTAAATTCCAATAATGTTTGAGAGGTTTGTTCTTGCTCTGTTCCTGATTTGTATTGTTTTATTGGATTTTTGAGCTTGTATAATGTTTGTCATCACCATAGTATCTAGTTTAGCTTGTCTACTTAATAATATTCTATATATATTATCGGATACCGACGTTTAAATCTGCTCTTTTTGACATTCAGACCCAAAAAATGACTTCATAAAGATGAACTACATGTTGATGTTATGTCTCATTTTAATAATTCTGATTTTTCTTTCTGAGTAGTGTTAAAAATTTACCATAAAATTATCATCAATACAATATATAACATAATTTTTTTTTTCTTTTATTTTTACACGCAGCCATAGTTTGGCTGAAATACTGCTGACTCAAACAATTAATTATTATCATTTTATTACTTTTTAAGTAATCTTATGCGTGAAAAGAAGAAAACACTTGATGTGGCCTTCAACTCGATATCAATATATATTGACGACGTATTGTCAATTAACAATGGTTATTTCCATTCCTACCTCCATACTATATATCCTGGTGAGCTTGTGATAAAAAATACCACAGAGTCTGATACATCTGTTTCATACTTGGATATTTTACTTGAAAAAGACGTAAGTGGTAATCTAACAACCAAGCTATATGATAAACGTGATGACTTTAACTTTTCTATTGTCAACTTCCCTTACTTATGCAGCAATATACCTTCATCACTTGCATACGGAGTATAGTTATCTCATTTGATTCGACATGCAAGAGCATGCTCTAGTAAGTATAATTACTAAAACGAGGTAAATTATTGACAAACATGTTGATGAAACAAGAATATCAGCATTCTCGTTTAAAGTCATCATTTCGTAAGTTCTATGGTCGATACAATGACGTTGTCAGCAAAAACAATTTATCAATATTAATTTAGAATTTGAAAAATGAAATTTTAGATATATGGAAACATGTATTCACTTTCGAGAAGTACGTGATTCTTGATGAACCCCAAACCAAGCACCTGGGGCCCGTTTCACAAACGTTTCCTAAGATATGTCGTAAGACATAACTTAAGATATACATAAGTTATGACTTAGGAAGTTCCTAAGATTTGTCACAGCTGTTTCACGAAACAATCTTATCTTAAATTTTTCCTAAGTCGTTTCTTAAGTTGTGTATACTCGTAATTTAAAGACTAATGAAATACCTCTCCGCTCTATCTACAACTCTCAGTATGCTAGTATGGGTTATATTTTTAGCTTCAAAAAGGGAGGGGCGGGAGGATTGGAGATTACCCCCACTTTCAAAGGACTTGGACAGAAGTATGCGTTAACTTTGCAAAGTTTGCTGGTAGAACTAAGCATTCACAGACACACCCTTTCAAGCCCTCTTCCCTTCCGGGCACCCGATATTTGTATTTTTAAAAATTGTTCTACGTGTTATACGTTTAATTTATTTTGCTCTTTATAGGGTATCTAATTGTAAATGAAATTCAAAAATGATTGCTTCGTAGCGAACACATGCACATGTGAGGACATTCTTAAAAAAATATTTGCCAATGACTACTCAACGTTAGTTATTCGTGCTGTATAAAGCTTTCTCAAATATATAAAATAAGAATACCACGCCAGAAAAAAAATCCCAAATTCGTGACTACAGATATGAAAATACTAAAAGAAGAGGTTAATAAAGGAAATCTATTGAAATCTCATGCATAGCTAGCTATACATTGTATTAAGCGGAGAGGAAGACTGGTTGTAATATCATGGTCGGAAGAACTGACGGAGCACAGGGGGGGGGATATAAATTTTTTACCGATGTATAGAAAACAAAACTGCGTTATGCTTGTGTTACCTCAATAATAACGTCCTAGAGGAGATTAGACGCAACCATTCTTGGGAGAAACATTTATATATCCGGAGCTTGGTTGGTGGTTCATCAAAAATCATGTACTTATAGAAAGTGAACAAGTGTTTCCATTTATCTAAAATATCATTTTTCAAATTCGAATTTAATATTAATTAAAATACTAGTAATATATAAAAGAAATATACATGTACATGTAGATAAAAAAAAAACATAATATATACATGCATGTATAATAATGGATCAAATCATATGCTAGTTTTTTGTTTACGAAGACGTGCTCTTCAAATGATCGAGAATTATTCCAGCATATGTACATCTATTTCGCCAGCTCCAGTTTTGTGAACAGACATTTTTATATACTTTTGACTAATTTTGACACATGTTTGCCAATTATTGAAATCCTAGTACTGAGTAATTTCATGCAAAGTAAAAATGTTTTAACCTGGAGAGAACGTAGTCATCCATATACTAGTAGTCCATTGGATTTTCTCTCCCCAAACACATTCTTTCTCTCCATAAGAAATCTTGGACAGGAAGCCACAATATTTAGTTTCTTCCTAAGTCATCGATTTACCTGTCCTAAAGTTACGACATAACTTAGGAATATCCTAAGATAAGACGAGGTTAGTGAAACGGATAAGTAATGAACTTAGGAAAAAGTTCTTTCTTAAGATATAACTTAGTCCTAAGTATGCTTTGTGAAACGGGCCCCTGGTCTTTTGTACACCTATATTTTTTTTTAGTTTTGTAAGACGATTGGTGGACAATTGTCTCCATGTACTAATTGTAAAGAAACAAAACAAATATTGAAACAAACCCCTTGAAAACTTAACGTTAATCAATGAGCTTCTCGTTTTTAGTTTCATGAGGTCGCAAACATTGCCTTGGACCTGTCTCCAATGCACATTTTCCATCTCATTAGTAAAGATCAGAGTGTGTCTCCCCAACATTTCTTCTTTCATCATTTTCACCATCTTCAAGGATTGGATACTACAGAAATTGGTAGATTTCATCCAGTAGAACTCTTAAATCACCTAGGATGATTATCAGTGAATCTCTAGGAGAGGAATTCCCCATCCTTCATATCATCGAATGTATCAGTGGTAGTTATATTTCCTATATAAGAGCTGCAGATTACAAGATCCCACTTTAAAACATCCTTCAAAATATTCTACTAAATGAAATATATGGAGATTACGAACAGTGTTTAAGCTCAAAAGTTCATTCAACAATACAAATAAAAGCAGAGCAAACCTGGACCGCTTAAACATCAAAGTGGATCAGGTCCCATGGATAAGTGAGAAAAACCATAGTAACCGGTCACACCCAGCATGTGCTCATTGTCATGATCAGGAAATATCGGAAAATCTGTTGACAAAATTTCAGTACGTAAATAATGACTTAACAATGAATATAAAAAAAACGCCATCTAGCATTTGTTAATAGTAACATATTTTATCGAATGATACAATAAGGATTGGGCATAAGGCAAGGCCTCTGTACACCCTCTCCTTGTATACTAGGTCACGATACAGATATCAAATAATAACACTTGTACATATAAAAAATATGTTAGACTCTGTGATACCTTTTTATTTGAGGCTCGCTGTGATATATCGTATGAACATATGAATGGAAATAACTATTGTTAATTGACAAAACGTCGTCGATATATCTAAACTTGCTGTAGTCTTCAACTCGCCATTTAGATATATTGACGACGTTTTGTCAATTAACAATGGCTATTTCCATTCTTATGTCGATATGCTATATTCCGATGAGCTTGAAATAAAAGATACCACGGAGTCTGACACACTTGTTTCATTTTTCGATATTTTACTTGAAAAGACGTTAATGTTTATCTCACTAACCAAGCTTTACTCAAGAAATGATCATTAGAATATGTTCTACGCATGAACAATTCCCACCTCTGACTTTTTTGGAGGCCCATGTTTGCTCTGCTCCAATTTTGTATTGTTTAATGGACTTTGGAGTTTTTTTTTTGTGTTCGTTATCTCCAAATATTTTATTGAAGGCCACAGCAAATTTTCCAAAATTTTATCTTGGAATATTTAAGAACCTAAATCTGATCTACACCACTTTTTAAATATATCGTTGCATGATACTCCTGAAGGACATCATGCATTGGCGCCACAACAGTACGCAAGAGTCCCGGTTACAAGAGATATTCAATGTAAAATCAAAATGGCCATTGATCTTGTTGAACCCATCTTGAGAGGGTTACAACTTAAAATTATTTCTAACTTCTCTTTTTGAAGATTTCTTAAGAAAAAAGAACTAGCTAAATCTAAACAGGTATTGTTGCGTTTTGATGTGATTTACAGTTTCAAATAGCCTCTCTCATAAGTCATTATTAAAATAAAACACCTGAGTATACAATGAGTTCGTTCAAAGTTTGGAGTGTAAAACATGATGAAAAAGAATGAAATTGTGTAATTTTGACAAAATGTTTTTCCTTCGATTTTTGTATTTGGTTGGAATCAATCCCTCGCTGCTTTGAGGCTTGTGACGCAATTATTTGGATGCCTCCAAGTATCAACTCATTTACGTTCTATTTTATGCACATTTATATGTACTCTAATTCATCTGTTTGTATTTTCACTGCATGTCATTCCCAGGGGATCTGTACTTCATCCTGTGTTGTTTATTTGGACTACCCCCTAAATGGTTTGTTATTTTTTCATTCAAAAATCCACCTTATATCATTTCAATAAACGACGTAATCAACAAAACTTTATAACTGTGTTGGTTATTCTTCACTGCTTTATCACACTAAATTGTCTGAGGCATACATATTCATGAATTAGGATAATTTATCTCGTCTCATGAATTATGGTTCTCTGTTTATATAAATGTGGATAGTTCTTCCATTAATGCGGTAATACTTTCTGATATTTATGTCATTTTACGCTCTAAATTCGGCTTTATTTCCATCTCCACGTGTTTAAGTGAATAGTTTGTGCCAGTCCAGGGTTTCCGTTACACCATCATATTTTTTATCGTCAATTTTCCCATTTCTATAATATTTTCCATTTAAATTGCTCTGATAGTACTTATAAAACCACCATGCTGCGTGGAATCTCTTTGCGCAACTTCCCCCAAATTCCTTCACAACTTGATTATTGTCAAAATCTCGTGTGGAGAATTTTTTATTGTTATGTTTAATCATTCCATCACCGGCGTCCCCCTCGTAACCTCCGATATGCAATTTGTACCCTCCCTCTTCATCACCAACTACAAACGTGCTATATTCAGCGTATTTATGGTTTTTATCCCAGTCCGTCATCTCAACTCTAAGCGTGTAGTGATCCTGATTTGTGAGTCGGTGTATCACGTTGTTCCCGACCCAATGTTCTCCATATACTCCTACAAAATAATAAACGAAGAATTAAATAAAACAACTACTTTAAATATCTTTATGGTGCGAATAGCTTGAAAGGCAAAACACAAATTGCTATGCGAGAATGATATTTCTTTGCAATTTGAAAATTTCTTTCGTAATATAATGTAAAAAAAAATAATAAAGTAGGGAAATGATAGACATGATTGATATTTATTTATGTACTCCCAATTATCCTTTGACGTACTAGTATGTAAAATGTGAAGATAACTAACAATGTTCAATCTCATAAATCCAGTAAACAAAGCAAATCGTGACCAATCAAAACATGGAAAAATCAAATTGTGAACAGGCAATGACGTGGAAAAATCCAATTGTGATCAGACAAAGACGTGGAAAAAACAAATCATGAACAGGCAAAGACATGGATAAAACAACTCATGAATAGGCAAAGACATGGACAAAACAAATCTTGAACAGGCAAAGACATGGGTAAAACAACTAGTGAACAGGCAAATATATGTACAAAACCAATCGTGAACAGACAACGAAAGTATGGAAACTTCAGTACTTTGTTTATTAAAACAGAAGGTAATTTATATTTATAAATTGAAGTTTTCCTAAACAATTTGCAGGCCCAGTTCTCATTCACTATGGGATTGCGATATCGTACGGGGCCTGGTTACACACCAGCGTTGATAGGTTCCTTGGTTACCGGGATGAAAAGTACCTTCTGGAGATGTACGTCTGGTTGTAATTCGACCTTTCAGTCTTTGAGTGCAATAAACTATATATGTATAGAAGTAAGCATGTCTGAGAATAGGGAACAAGGGGAGAGGACCTTTGACTATACAATTCCAGGAGAAGGTCCTTTCGTCGTTGAGTAAGATGATAGAGAACACTACACTTCTTGGCAAATTCAGATAGCATAATATCATTATATAAAAGGAATTCGAAGTTATATCTTGTATATTGTTGTTCTATGTCATTAAGCTATATCTAAAAAAATATTTGCTTGTTAAATTATCTGTTCGTTTTTACCTAGCCATCATTTTGAGAACTCAATGTTTCAATGTTTTTTAAATAGATTTGCAAGTTGTTGCTGGATACGTTTGGACCATGGAAATTCTGCTGGATCCTGGTCAATTCGAAAGGTCTTCAATTTGGCATCTAGGAGTGATATCCAGCAACCTAACACCAGTCCTGTCACAACAGGTAAACTATGTACATGTAAGACCCATCATCTTGTTTTAATATACAAAGTAACAAGAGGCCCGTGAACCACATCGCACACATGAGCACTGTGGCTATGAAAAAAGCAAAAATCAGTCCAGTTTTAAAAAACTTATATGCATGTGGTTCCAACCTACCCCTAAAAGGCAGAAGGAAGGGTGATTTGAGTTAATATGAACATACAAAGGATGCTTACATATTTCTTAGGCTTGCTGTGGCTTTTTTCCCTACAAGTCTGTTCTTTTATTTATGCCCCACCCTATCCCAAGGGGTCATGATTTTAACAAACTTCAATCTACACTACCTGATGATGCTTCCTTATAAATATGACCAATCCTCCCTTTTTTGTTCTTAAAAAGAATATTTTTAAAGATTTTTCCTATGTATTCCTATGTTAAACTTTGATACCCCGCTGTGGCCCTACCCTACCCCGGGGTCATGATTCGAATAAACTTTAAACTACACTACTTGAGGATGCTTCTATAATAAATATGAACAACCATGGCTTTGTTGTTCTTGAAAAGATTTTTAAAGAATTTTCCTATATATTCCTATTTAAAACTTTGGTCGACCATTGTGGTCTCGCCTTACCCCGGGGTCATGATTTGAACAAACTTCAATCTACAACACCTGATGATGCTTCCTCATTAGTTTCATCTTTCCCTACCCAGTGGTTCCTGAGAAGAAGATTTTTAAAACATGCCTCCAGATTTACACTATGTCATAATTATCTCTCCTTGGATAAAAGCATGGCCCTTTATTTGCACAAAATTAAATTCTCTTCCCCTAAGGATGCTTTGTGGCAAGTTTAGTTGAAATTGGCCCAGTTGTTCTGGAGAAGAAGTCGAAAATGTTAAAAGTTTACAGACGGACGGACAGACAGACGGACTACAGAAAAATTGTGATTAGAATATCTCAATTGAGCTTTCAGTTCAGGTGAGTTAATAAAACTTGATCTAAAATGAGCTGATAAGATATTTGACCAAAGTCTGGATGTTACTGTTACTGTAGACCTTTCACGAGGGCTGTTCAATAAATAATGTCCACGGTGCTCGGAAAGAAACGAAAAAAATAACGCTTTTCAATGAATTATTCTTAATGATTTCGCTTAAATATTATCTTTTAATTAAAATACATGTCTGTAACATTTCATCCAATTTTTGATTGTTTTAAAACATATTTTTGAGTATGGTCTTTCGTATACTGGAATATGGCAGATCGTATGATGTTTTTGTGCTTGTTTCTTCTTCCTGAAAGGTGTTTTTACGAGTTTAGGAAATGAAGTCAAAGGTAGAAAGATCTGGCGAATATTATTGGTGTGATAAAACATTTTCTTTCTGCTTATCCCCAAACTCCTTGACTCTTCACGGCCTGTGGGTTTCGACGCTGTCATGAAGAAATTCAATGTGATGGAATCCTGTTTCTGGTTCCTTTCTCTCACAAACCTTTCGATTTTTGTTGTTGTTGCTTTCTAGACTCCTTCAGATATTCAACTGCCTTCCCGAATAAGAATTTGAAAAACAAGACCACTAATATTTAAGAAAATAGCATATAAAACTTTTTTGTGCTTTTACAATTCTTTGCTTTTCTAAACTCTTTGCTGTTCTTGTCAAGTGCATTTTATTGTAAATTTGTAAATGTCAAGTTTCATTGTCTGTTTGAATTTCAGACAAACGTGGATAAGTACAATGTTTGTTTTTTAAATAATTGTTCAGATATTCTTACACTGCGTCGTTTTCACCCATTTTTCAAAACATAGGGTTACCATTGAGTATTTAGCTTTTTAACTGTCAAATGTTTCTTTAAAACAGATTAAACTACCCCCAAATTAATGTCTAGTCGCCAGTCAGATATAATCAGCGATACTTTATTGATTTTTTGGAAACAGTACATGTACATTGGTTCTTGTAAGCCCTTGTCGTCAAGGACGGTACCCATTTTTGATGCCCATCATATCATTTTTGTTCATTGAATTCCACCTGCTCATGTGTCTATAAAACAGATATTGGTTGTTGTAAATTTCACAAATTTCAGTGAATAAATTCCTTCGGATTCATTACAATTTAAACAGCAGCTTAAATGAAGCTTTTAATTCACTCTAGTTACTGATTCTTTACCATTCATTTTAATGCAGTGTCTCGAATAGCCCTTGTTTTTGGGCTTCTCACAATAAAAATACGTGATGAAAAGTGGTGGCATAAACTGTAATCAATTCATTAGAGCTTCAATAATGAGAGAAAATCAAGCTTAATATCATAAGATTTGTATGTTATATATCATAGAGCTCAGGTCATTATTTATGTGTCAAAAAAGGGCCCTTGTATAATTTTTTTCTCTTAACAATTTATTTATTTTCATTTTAACAGTGTATCCTTAGAAAATGTTGATTTAATATTTTTTAAGTATCTTTATCAAAAACTGTAAGAGAGAGAAAATTATTTTTTTTAAATCAGGTTATAGCACATGAAAAAATACAAAATTATAAAGTTTTGCAGGTAAACAATTAAACTCACCAGAAAAACTATAAATAAAATAAATCAAATGTTCATTAGAGGTGATGTGAAGTTAAATTAATTTAAATTAAATTAAAAACATATCCAGAAGTAAACAAAAACTGATGATGAACGAGCTATGTATTTTAATTTTCAATGTTTAATGAACGCCAAAAGCATTACAATAAAAATTGTAGAAAATGTCTTCAATATGAACATTTTTAAGGTTTCAGTCGAACTTTTCAGACTACAGAATGCTTGCCTTAAGGCTTGCCTCACAAATTCCAGTAGCAGATGCTGATGATGATATTTTAAGATCTCGTTGGTCCACGGGGTCAGAGTGTGTCTCTGTCTGTTCCGCTCTCCCTTACGCCAGCTTAGATAGATTAATTCAATATTTGCTAGATACCATATCATTATAATTAAGTATAAAATTTTGTCATCCCACAATGATACTTTTCCACTTAAAATCAAAACTAAGCAATTCTTACTTGAATTTGATTTTTATGAATAGATTTTTTAATGTTTTCATAGAAAACATGCACGATATCCTTTCCATCAAATCACACCGTGAATGGTACATATGCTGTAGCCGTAACTGGGAAGACTTTCCCCGCTCAAATATTACTATTGGTGGGACGACGTATTCTCCTTTTGACCCCATGACGCCAATTCATCTCTAGGTGAACTTAAAAAAAATCAAACCAAGATGTATTCCATTTTTTTTTTAATTCAAACTTTGAAGGATTTTCAGTTCTTAATGAATTTAATGTGAATTTTCCAGTTTCTTGTCAGGACCGCTAATTTGTATGGTTGTTGTGAGGAGCGACCTGTTTCTGTCAATAACACTCCTCCAGAGGGTACCATTTTTAACGTTTTGATGGGACAAACGTTACACATCTCATTTTACATCGCTAGCAATCAAACGTACGTTCTTTTAAATATTGCAAGGTTCAATTTGTTTTAATCCTCTATATACATATATACATACCGGTATTACTTTTCTAGAAATTGACAAGTGTGCAAGTCAACCAGGCCTGGATAATGGGATATGTACATATTTTGTTAATTCGTTTTCTTGCTTCAGTCATCCTGGATCTACTGGCGGTAATTGTGAAACAGGTAAATACCAGCTTATCTGAGAGGGTTTTTTTTTCTCTTTTTTAAGGTAACTTTAACTGTTTCAATGAATGGAAGGGGTATTTATCAGTTTCAGATTAT